CAGCAGCCCGAGATTTTGTTTGCGATGCATGCGTCGAGTCAGTGGGCCGCAAGCATCAGAGACCTGCCAAGCTTCATGAACCTAAAGACTTCAATGATACCGTAGGAATCGATGGCTTTTACTGGACTGGACTTCGAGGTTTTCAAGTACATGTGTTTCATTGCATCGATGAAGCATCCCTCTTTCACTTAGGCCGAAGATGTGAGACTCGAAACCCAGATCAAGTCATCAGAACATGGACTGAATTTTGGACTTCTTGGGCAGGAAATCCAACTCAGGTCTACACTGATCCTGCCGGAGAATTTATCTCACAGGAATGGAAAGATCTCATGCAAAGTCAGTCCATTCAGCCAATGATTTCCACCGAAGCTTGGCAACGAGGTCGAATCGAAAGACATGGCCAGATCATCAAACGAATGTTGTCTCGATGCGATTTAGAGCGTCCAATTGAGACGATTCAAGATTTTGATCAGGTCCTTCTCGCATGTTTCCAAGCCAAGAACTCACTGACCCGCCAGCAGGGTTTTTCTCCAGAACAAACTGTTCTAGGAAAGTCTCAAAAATTACCAGCCAGTTTGACATCTGATGACAATGCCCTTTCGCATACACTTGCACTGGGAGAAGAACCTGAAAGTGAACTTTTCCGCCGTCACCTTGAAAGAAGGACCCATGCCCGCAAAGCGTTTTTGTTGACTGATAATGACCAAGCCATTCGCAGGGCCTTGATACATAGATCATGTCCTCCTCGTGGTCCCTATGAACCTGGTCAATTGGTCATGTATTGGATGAAGAGACACAAATCTAGTCGACAGGAAACTGGCAGATGGCATGGCCCAGCCAAGGTGATTCTCCAGGAAAGCCAATCTGCAGTGTGGCTTTCCCATTCTGATCGTTTGTTCAAATGCGCACCAGAAAGCATCCGTCCAGCGTCGTTGCGGGAATGGAACATGGTAAACGGAGGGAAATCTGTCTGGGCCCCTGAACTTGATCCCATAGAACCGTTAAGTAAGGCTCCAGCAACACCAGCAGAATCCCTTGCGTATGAACCCAGTCTTGCACCAGATGTCCATGTTCCCAGAGCTCCAAGTTCCATTATCACCCCGAACTCATCAATTCAACCTGAAAGTGAACTATTCCCTGAACCACCAAGTGAAACTCATGAACCAGATGCACCTGTTGATAACAATCCCAATGAAATAGCAAATCCACCCACTGAAGCAATTGACCTGGATGCAACGGAACCCACCGAGGGGTCGCCAACGTCAGAGCCCATCCTGCAGTGCTGTTTAATCACCGCTGAGGATCAAGCAGAAGAACTGTTTGATTGGACGATGCTGCAACCCGGGAATCCAGAACAGAATGTACTTCTTGCGGAAGATGGTTTTCCAGTTCTTGAATCCCCGTTGGAATGTCATGAACAACAATGTTTTGCATTGTCCATAGATCTTACAGACACTGATGTTCACCGATGGGCCTCTGCTGAAAAACCAGAGGAAATGGCCTGGGTAGCTAGCGCAGGCAAAAGGACCAGGGCAGAGGTTTGTGTGAAAGACCTCACATGGGATGAAAAACTACAGTTTGAAAAAGCGAAAGATGCTGAGCTCAACTGTTGGATACAGACCAGTGCTCTGAAACCAATTCTCCGACGTCAGCTGAATCCCAACCAAATTTTGAAAAGCCGCTGGATCCTTACATGGAAGAACTTGCATGAAGAAGACAGCAACAAACCTCAAAGAAAAGCAAAGGCTAGACTTGTGGTTCTTGGATTTCAGGATCCCAAGCTTTGTGAAGTGGCCCGGGATTCACCCACGCTGACCAGAGAAGGCCGCCATTCAGTGCTGCAGACGATTGCCAGTCACTGCTGGGAGCTAGCATCTTTTGACATCAAGACAGCCTTCTTGAGAGGACAATCAAGTAAGGACAATCCACTAGCTATGGAACCACCAGCAGAACTCCGAAAGAAGCTAGATCTTTCACAAGACCAAGTCTGCGCATTAGTAGGCAATGCCTATGGACGTGTTGATGCTCCTTTGTTGTTTTACAAAGAATTTTCCAATCAGCTCTTCAAACTGCAGTTCACCAGACATCCTCTGGAACCATGTATTTTCATGTTGGAGTCTTATAAGGCAGGTCAACGGACACTTCATGGAATTATTGGGTCCCATGTCGATGATGGTATTTGCGGAGGTGATCAATATTTCTACAAACAACTGGAGTCATTGAAACAGGTGCTACCTTTTGGTTCATTCAAACAACGGAAGTTTGTGTTTACTGGAATTCAATTGGAGCAACTCCCTGACTTCAGTATCATGGCTTCTCAAGAAGAGTATGTGAAGAGTATTCCAGCGATCGACATCGGCAAACACCGACGTCAAACGCCGGATGCCTCTGTGTCTGATGATGAGCTAAGCAAACTTCGAGGAGTAATCGGTAGCCTGCAGTATGCGGTGACACACACGAGACCCGACATGGCCGCTAAGCTGGGAGAAGTTCAAGTCCAGATTGCCAAAGCCACAGTACAAACCTTGATGTTGGCCAATAAAGTCCTTAGGGAAACCCAAGAACATAGCCAGGTGAAAATCTGTTTTCGACACATACCTGTTCAGCAACTCACTCATGTCAGCTTTGGAGATGCATCCTTTGCCAGTGCCAAACAGTTATCATCTTTTCAGGGAACCCTAATCTGTGCAACCAACTCCGATCTTGATAAGAACCGAAAAGCTCCCATTAGTCCCTTGTCTTGGATTTCCAAGAAAATTGCTCGTGTAGTCAGATCGACACTGTCAGCTGAAGCGTTCTCCATGTCAAACAGTGTTGACCGCCTAGGATGGATGAGATTGCTCTGGGGTACCATCAACATTGCGAATTTTGATTGGCGTAATCCTCCTAAAGGCTTCCAGCAATTGCCAGTCGCCACCATCGTAACTGACTGCAAAAGTTTGTATGACCTAGTCAGTAGGACAGCAATGCCATCTTGTGAAGAGTTCCGCACAACTCTTGAAGTATTATTGATCCGTGAGCGATGTCAAGAACACTGCCACTTCAGGTGGATTCCCACCGCTTTGCAGGTAGCTGATGCATTAACCAAGCCTATGGATCCAATTTTGCTTCGACAAGTGTTATCTTCAGGATGTTTTCAACTTTACGATGAATGCGACTCTTTGGAACGGAATGCCCACAAAAAGCAAGCAGTTCGTTGGTACAAAGAGCAAACCGATAATCCTTCCAAGCAGTTTTCCAGTGTCTCATCAAAAGAAAAGTAGAGGAGTGTGAAATGTCCACTACCTTGGTACCTTGATGTGACACATGTGAACCATAGAACTCATGTTGGCATGTGAGTACCTTCCGCTGTGTTCGCGCCTCGAGCACCTGCGGAGGGAAGAGGCTGTGGTGGGTATTGGATACCCTGACTGGTGCTTTCGCCATTGTTTCCGGGAAAACATTGGGCTGTGCTGCGGTGTGGAACAGGGTTCCTTCAATAGCATTTACCATTTGGTTTCTGGTGTTTGGAACACTATCGTCTTCTTGGTGCAATTGGGAATTGCAATCTGCTGCCAGTGGGAGAGGTTCAATCCTCTCACAGTAGATATAGCTAGATATAAATAGATTTAGATAGATATAAATAGATGTAGATAGATATAGACATAGATATAGACATAGAGAGACATAGATGCAGATATAGATAGATAAAGATGTAGATATAGATACAGATATAGATAGATGGATGCATATCTAATGCACAACATGCACCTGGTGAACATGCTTTACTGATAGATTGATCGGTAGATGATACAGAAGATGAGCCATAGGAGCCAGGAGCCATAGGAGCCAGGAGCCATAGAAGCCACAGAAGCCGCAGAAGCCACAAACCACAGAAGCCACCAGGAGCCACCAGGAGCCACCAGGAGCCACCAGGAGCCACCAGGAGCCACCAGGAGCCACCAGGAGCCACCAGGAGCCACCAGGAGCCAGGACCGTAGAAACCACAGAAACCACCAAGCCACCACAAGCCAGGACCAAAAAAAAATTGCCAAGAAAAAACAAAAAATAGATTTGATTACGACACACCAAATAGATTTGATGTTTCAGATGCACGTAATGCACGTAATGCACGTTACGCGCGGAAATGCCGGCAGGAAATGCCATGTTGAGCGGAGCAGAGGACCGAGCGCCGCGGCGCCGCACCACAGCGCAACGGGGTCGTCCGGTCTTCCGGTCGTCGGCCTGGGTCTTGTGGCCAGGACCTGGATCCCAAAGTGCGGATGCTGTTCAGTTCGGTGTCAGGACCTTGGCAACACACCAACAACTACAGTATACACACATTATGTATATTGTATGTATATATATATATATGTATATGTATATGTATATGTATATGTATATGTATATATGTATATGTATATGTATATGTATATGTATATGTATATGTATATGTATATGTATATGTATATGGACATTCTATACACAGATTAGACAGGTTGCCCAACTAGAGAAACCATTGATGTTTTATATGTTTTGAGTATAGTATACCTTGCAATACCTTGCACTCCAACTGTTGTCATGTCAGGTTGGATTCGCTGTTCACGCTTTTTGGCTTGATGAACAGCCTTATTCTCAGATGGTGTTGTGCAACCGCATTTCCTTGGACATGTAGAGATTAACCTCCAAGAAATGTTTTCAGCAAACTTAAATCATTTGAAATCTAGCAGCATAGCTGGCAAGTGATGTTTCATGCCTCATGTGTCAAGACATATCAAGACACCTGGTGATGGCGGCGAGAGCTGTGTGGCCTGAGCTGAGCACAAGTCCAGTTGACAAAAGGGCATTCCAACTGCAAAACTACACAACTACAAAACACATATCATGCAAAATGGTTTGAACACCTTCAAACAAAGACACTGCTCCTATCCAAGGATTTTGGATTCAATTTCGCTCTCAATTGTTGGATGACGTTTTGGAGAATTCAGCAGAAATCGAATCCTCACATATCATTGTCCTCATGTGGCTGCGCAACGCTCGCGACCATGAGCTTTGACTTTGATCCCACCAGTCCTCAGCAGCAGCTGGATCCCAACCCTGTGGCATGTCTGCATCTGACAGAATGAATCCAGAAATTGAAACTGTTCCACGGCTGTCCACTTGTCCACGGCTGTCCACTTGTCCACTTGTTCAGAGAACTTCAGAGATACCGGCATGAAGTTGAGTTCATACTTGTCCACTTGTTTCCAAGTTTAGAGATTGTACGAAAACCATAGAAATCCAACAATGCGGTATCACAGTGTGCAGACCTGTGAGCTGCCCCAAGACTCAAGGACATCAATGACACGGGCTTGCAGTGGTGGACCTCGACTCAGTTGATGTGAGATACCTGAAACAAAACAGCAATCAATTGCAAACAATAAGTTCTTGAAAGGGCTGAACGTGCATGCCATTTCTTGAGTGCAGACATTCCTCGTCAAGTCAGTCAAGTCTCATCAAGAATCTATTGAAATCTATTGAAATCTATTGATATCTATTGATATCTATTGCGTTCCTGTCTTGAAATGTCTTTACGACTCTGTCCGTGACACATGCTATCCTGCCACTTCACCTCGATGAAAGAGGAGCAACGAAACTCGAGAAAATGCTGAGAGGGCAGTCATTGCTGCACGGCAAGCTGACATGGCACTGCATGTGGTCTGAATCCGAGCTTCACAATCAATTGATATCAATTGATCAGAGCATTATCATTTGGAGCATTTGGAGCATTTGGAGCATTTGGAGCATTTGCAGCTGCACTGAGGCAAAAACTGCTTCAAACATGGCCATCGCGGCTGCTGGACATTTGATTAGAGACAACTTGTTGGCGAACACCAAGATGTCTATGCGAACCTATTCCAAGCTGATGAAAGAGCACCTCGGCAATGTCGAAGTCAACATCAAGACTCAGACACCTGAAACAAAATTGATGAACATGCCTTGGTCACGAAAGCTAGCGGTAGGTAGCTCGAGTTACTCTTGCTTTAGCAAGGGGAGGGGCAGGTCTGAGTTATGAACCTTATTTCGTTCACCCCCCTGCCTCAAGTCATTACGGCGGCTCTGGATGGAGGCCGGATTATGTCCACTGGGATGGCGTTCTGGGTGGCCGGGACAAGGAGAGGACTTTTGGTTTACAAATCACAAACGATTCAGCTGTCTGCCATGGTGCACATGGCCACATCAGGAGCATCCAGCACCACAGGCCAGCCATTGCCCATGGCCAGTGATGGGGAGCCATTCAACCATTCAACCAGTGCTTCTGATTTGTTACCATGCTTTGATGCTGGCAGGTGACTCAACCCGAGGAAAGTGGTGTGAAGGATGTGAATTCCACGAATTCCACCCAGTCTGATCTCCAGGAGAGTGTCAAAGTGGCGTTCCAGGCCAGCTTCTTTGGGAAATTATGAGCCACCAGTGAAAAACTGTAGATCACACAGATCATACCAAGCTGGTGGAGCTGTAGGATTCAGGTTGACCATGGCATAGCCAAAGACTACTAATTTGATAGACATATGTGGCAAAGAATTGCAGTTTGAAAGTATTTGAAATGATTTGTTTGACACTGTTGATGTTCCTCGATGTGCTTGTTGAAACACAGTCACATTTATTTGTGGGTGGGATCAGATCCCAAATTAATCTGTTGCATTCCAGGGAAGTATGAATACATATGGAACCTAATTCATCAGTTTTTGTGTCCCGGATTTTAACCCAAAACCAGATGCATTTGGAGACGAATGTGTCTCAGGCTCCGTTACTTTGTACCTTGACAAGGAAACCGCGGAGACGAGTGAGTTGCTTCTTGTGAAAGCTAGGCCCTGGCGGCAAAGGACGCCGAAGCCAAAGGCGCTTCAAGGGTGACCGCACCGCATGAATCGCATTACGCGTGTCGTAAATCATCCAGCCGGTTTGCTCGTTCAGTCACCGTGATCACCGTGATCACCGTGATCACGGTACAAACGAAAAGGTGAACTCTTTGGGTTCAACGAGATCACCGTGATCACGAGATCATGTTCAATTCTGTTCGATGGGTATCCGAGGTCAGTACTGGCAGGAAGTCGATCCTCTCTTTCGAGCTTTCCCTTTCCTGAAGCCGGTCATAGACTTAGCACCTCATTGCGCCATCTAGGAATCGAGAGGCCGAAAAGTACAGTAGTGGTCAAAGCAGGTCACCTCTTGCAATTTCATATTTAGTTGATGTCATTTAATGATTTTAATGTGGAATATGTGGAATTCGGCCAAATTTGGTTGCGTCTGGCATGCTCGGCTGAGGTTTGGGTCCTCTATACAGTGCTGTCCTCCTGGGCACTGCTCAGCATCCTGACAGGGGTGTGGTGACCTAGACCCGCTAAGCCGCCAAGATGAGCCAAGCCATACGCCCGAGATGGCCCGAGTCCCCCAGGTGGTGAGTGACAACATGCTGGAGGTGTGATGGGTGCAATTTCTCACAAGTAGCACGCAGTTTGTGGATACGTGATACGTGCAGTGTGGCATCGTTTCTTTGTTCATTTAGTTCATTGATGTCAAGTGGGCTGTTCTCATGGCACATGGCCACGCAGTGCCATGGACAGCTGGTGGGTCACGTGGGTCACCAGGTGCGCCAGCTGCAAGAGAGGAAGGATGAGGAAAAGGTTGAGAGACTTCGTTGATGTCTCAGTACACTCAGCACGTTGCCATCGTGAAGAGGGATCAACATGGATCATCTCAGCAATCAGAAAGGCCCCAGATCCAAGTGGCAACTGAGGTTGTCAATAACTTGGATCATCTTGAATCATTTTCCGTGATCGTTGCATCATTTGCAAGTCACTTTGCTAAGGACTCAAGGTGACTCAGTCCCTCAGTGAAGTCTTCCTCGCTGCCAGTAAAGATGGTGTTATGGAGAAGCAGGAGAAGACATTGGTGAGACAAGTGCTTCAGATTCTTCACATTCGCCTTGGAAAGGGGGGAACAATAAGTGAAAATTGAATTAAAAAAATTAAAAATTGGGTTAATTGATGTATGTTGAGAATAGCAGTGACCCACTGGTCCAAACATGGATTATACCTGGATTATACCTGGGATATCCTGGGATCATTGGGAGAAAATCCTCAGCTTCCAGTTGAAGGACTTTGTGGAAGTGATGTCTTCTCCGTACTTCCTCCGGAAGCTGCAGAGTGTTGCAAACATGTTGGATGCTCAGTGCGTTCTTGCTCAGTGTCTCCTTGTATTGAAAACCAGGCAGATTCTTCGACAAATTACCATTTCTTTACCACTGAGATCCACTGAGAACTGTTTGGTTCGCATCAGTTTCTCGTGCCGATGTCAGGCCGGTTCAGGATATGCTGCGAATGTTCGACTGGCTGGATGTGAACCAGCAGGCAGGGTGGCTTTGGCGAACCTGCTTTGCCTGAAGATTTGGCGAACGAACAGTACTTCTGCATCGGTACCAAGTAACATCAAGTAACTTAGCTAAACCGAATGTGTTACAGTCACTGTGCAGGGCAGCATCAACCAAGAAGATTTCATGGCTGGCTTCGACTGCCTGTGTGGAGCTTAGAGGAAGCAAGTTGAGACCACCGAGACCACCTGTTAGATCTGTTAGGAATGCTGATTTCCACAGGATTGGGCATTCCTGCAGTGAGATTGTCATGCTGTTTTGATGATTAACAATTAAAATATATTAAAATAATTAAGCTAGTGGCAACTACAACTCCTTATTTCTTTCCTTGAGATGTTTTATCAGTTTTGACAATTCAGAGCCAACATCTCCAAGAATTGGCGCATCGATGACCGGAACGTCGGACGGATTGCCCAGGAATGAAGCGGTGACTGGAAAGAGCCTCTTGAAGCTGCAAACCACGGCCAGGCGTCGAAAAGCTAGAGATAAATGGTGTGGAAAGCATGTGGAAAACATGTGAACAACATGTGAAAAACACGTGGAAACACAATTGGGAGAAACACATGAAAAACGTTCGACACATGTTGGAAAAGTTGGAAAAGTTGCATCCTCAAATCATCTCAGCTGGAGGCATCGATGCAGAAAGATTGAGAAAAGAGCCGCAGCCGAGCCGCCATATTTGTGGCAGATTTGCTTATCGCCAAGTATCGCCAGGTGTTTCTCAGCAATTTTAGCACAGTTGGTACATGTTGGTACCCCCAAAAGCCATCAAAAGCCATGAAATGTGGTAAACAGCCCAATGCTACAGACTACAATCAGCATCACCTCAATATATCATAATATCCCAATATTAACAACACACATCCAAAAAGACCCGATGTTTCCCCCGATGTTTCTGGCGCCAGGCCTTGCGCTCGGAGATTAGCTCGGCGGAGAATACGCTGCTGAAACGTTCAGAGGTGACATCGGACTCTGGGGAGGATATGGTGGGATATATATATATATGTATATATATATATACACATAATGTAATGTAATGTAATGTAATGTGATATGATATGATATAATATGATATTATATGATATAATATGATATAATATGATACAATATGATATAATACGATATCATATGATATCATATGATATAATATGATATAATATGATATAATATGATATAATATGACATAACACTATATATATATGTAAATAATTATATAATTATGTCATATATATATATATATGTTAGATATTAGGATGTGGTAGGATATCCTAATGACATCATAGGATATGGTAAGATCTGGTAGGAATGTGGGCACTGAGGGGTTGCAGAGGAATCATGTCTCATAACAAGTCATGAGAAGATGATGGAGTTGGTCTTCATGCCAACTTGACCAGGAAATGGAGGGGAGTCTCAATGAAGTGCTACAGCGCATTGAGGCTGGCCTATGGTCGGAATTGATTAGCAATGTGTTCAAAATGCGCTGCAGAAAAGAAGAAGCAACACCATCAAGCGATATCAAGGGGCCTCTGATGAATATGGACATGTTAATCAGACACTTGTTCTATTCTTGTTTATTGGCGAGCACATTTGAAAGGTTCCAAAACATGCCAGAGTCGCCATGATTTCCAAAATGGTGACACCGAGATCTCCTGATATCCATGGACGGAGGCTGAGACTGAGCGACAGAGCCGTGCAAGTGAATGGATTGAAATGTTGGAGCCTCAGATCAACTGTGCTATGGTATGCTATGGTCATATCCCCTGTAGTGATTTATGTGCACATCTGGGGTGGGATGGTGTGGGATGATTGGTCAGTGGTTAGATCAGTGCCCTTTCCCTGGCATTTGGCTGAGGCAATGCATGGAGATGAAAGTTCAGATCACGGCCTATCGACAGCAGGCGCCCCACCTATCACGACCAGTAGGCACTGAATGTCGGAGCAGAACACCGCACAGACCAGTGACAGCACTCAATCAATAGAGTTTTGGTTTCAGAGAATAAGTGGAATGGGGTGACAGCTTGTCAGGAAATATTTGCTTCAAACAGAGCAATTAGTTTGCCAATGTTTGCCATCTACTCCACGCATCTCGGACAGGATGTTGTGCTAAGATCCTGTCCGAAAGATCCCTTTAGGCCCTTTAGGAGGTCAGTTGAAATCACCGCTGGTCAGGTGGGCATGAGCTGCGGCCTCAGTGGGGAAGTTGTGGGGACGCAACGGCAGTCACCAGCAGCCAGGTAGCGATACGGGCTCAAGGACACCCGAAACTTCAGGCGCAGAGCTGAGACATTGGAATTTAAAGGATATTTTGTGCATCTTTATGCTACCTTTGAGTCACAAAATGAAAACAAACAATTTTGATCAATTTCGAATATGTTGATATCTGCTTCAGATGGCTGGGTAGCAGTGTTTGATTTTGTCTCCGGACGTACATAACGACCCGTTTGGAGCGGATTTTGTACTGGTAGCAGGGAACTACGTGTTTTTGCGCGTTTTGACCCATGCCAGTCAACGAAGTGGGGTGGGGTGGGGTGGGATGTTAACGTTCATGTTCACTTGCACTCACACTTGATTCCACCCGTCGTTTACATTCTGTTGCACTGCAGGATGGAATCTATAATTCTTGATCAGGATTGCAGATGATTTACACGATTAGGACCTGTTTCTCTGAGTCAGAAACTATTCCATAAGCAACAACTGTTTTATCAATGCAAAATGTGGGAGCCCGCAAGAGTTGCAAAGAACCAGCCAAAAGAATGGATACACCAAAAGTGCATCTTTTGCTGTGGCGAAGCAGCGATCGGTTACACAATACCTTGATTTCGATGCGCCCTCATGCCTTATGGTGGAAACTGTGGTGGAACAGCAGTTTCTGACCTTTGTATTTTCCCAAACGTATGGATTGCAGTGAAGACAAGCGTCGTGACGTCATACTGGACCGTGTCTTTGATGGTAACCGCATTTTTTTCACTTTGTGCTATGTGTGTTATGTTCCAGGAAGGAAGTCACCTTCGAAATCGTCTCCATCGAGGTTTGGCCGAACGCTGTGCAGTAACGGAGAAAGGGTCAAGCCGTCAAGCTGAGTCAAGCTGTCCCAGGGGGACTCATTTCTTGTCGACTGTTTAGTCCTCAGTGGAAATCTTGAGCTGTTTCATATGTTTCATATGTTTCATGACTGAATCGCTTTCAGTGCTGGAAGCTGGAAGCTAAGATTGCTACTGCAGCGAGCAAACTGTCGTGGAAGCCCCAGTGACCCAGTGAGTTGACCTGTGGCTTCTCGTGGATGGTAGAACATGAACCGAGTCAGCAACTAAGCGAGTAACTAAAAAAATACCAACAACATCTAAAAACATACGGTATATGGATATATATAATATATATATATATATATACACACATATGGTACGTGTCAAAATTTGGAAGGCTTCTAACACATGTTAGATTGATTTAGGTACTCAATTCTGACCCGTGCCATTTTTTTGCTGGTGTGCCTGTGTGTCTACAAACTATTTATCCTGATTTCTTTTGGCCATAAATATCAGTGATGTTTGTGAAGCCATTGGCTCTGGTTACATGTGACCTGCTAATCATAATCCATCCATATCCCAAACATATTTCACAGGGTTTCACCGCGCCACATGCTGCAGGTTGGGCTGGCAATCGAGCTGGCGATCAAGTTCAAACAAGACTTCCAACTGAGCGCAGCTGTCGCCGCTGTCGCAGCTGTCGCATGTCGTGTGATGGTCTCGTGGTCCCTGTGCCATCAGATGCCATGGTGATTGGATGTGGTGATAGCTTTTTGGCGTGTGTTTTCTTAGTGAGATTTAATGGAAACTGGACAGGTCCAGTTGTGCTAGTGCTAATGATCGAGTGTCGCTTTCAGGCGCCTTGACGAGTTAATGCATTCGATCGGAGCTGACAAATGCCAGAACTTGGGCTCCAGACACAGAACCTGCTCAAATTTCTTTGGACTGCCGTAGAGAATGAGTGTGTTTTAGGATGAAGCTCTTGCCGAGTTGAGTGTTCTTCAGATACTGTAACTTGTCAACTCCGTTCGTTGGTCGCGTCCAAGACGCCATGCCTCTGCCCGGTCTAGTCTCACCATCGGGTGTCCATCAAAAAGGGACGCCAGGGGGGTGATTCCAAGGACCCTGGTGAAGATTTTTGATTCTCATGGCTTCGTGTCCCACATGTCAGAATCTTACTAACCGTTACTTACCTGAACCTTCGCTGCGCATTCTAAATTTTACTCGTTTGGTTATGTCATATTATATGCATCCACGCGTTGCCGCATCCACGCGTTACTTGACCTGATTTCATCCAGTGACATTGTTGTAGGAACTGTACTCTGCCTGGAGTTGTTTGATCATATTCGCCTGGAACACAGGGGATGGTGCAAGGGATGTGCAAGGGATGTTTTTCTAGCGCGCGTGAGCAAAATACACAAGCTGTACCCACCACCAACTTGGCACCTTGGCAGACTTTGATCCGCTTTGATCTCCGGCAAATTGGACCAGGTGTCCGTGATGCATCCGTGGAAGCTCCTGTGTTTTTTGTTCCACATGCAATCATCATGCTCAGTGAAAGCATAGGTGTATCCCAAGAATGCCAAGAACGACTTTATTCCCTGACAGTTTGTGCCAAGTGACAAAATCACGTTTCTCAAAAACCAACACAGAGAGTCTGTGCAGGGAAGCCATTTCGGTAGCTATCATAGCTATACAAGTCCTATGAGTTGCTGGATATGTGGTGAGACTTGCAACTAGGGTGGAACTAAACCGCTACAGACAACGATTTGGAACATTCAGTTTTCTAGCCTATTGTTTGATCTTTTCTGGATTCACTTTCCTCAGCAGATGGTTTTTGACATTTCTTTAGTGGTACACGCAACATTCAAATTAGTTCATGTGCTTATTTGACAATTGCAAACACACGGACTCATTCGACCCAACCATTCCTCAAGTTGCCAACCTCAAAGGATTCATATTTCAGGATAAGCACAGTATGCAGTGTCAAGCAACGTTGGTGTTCAGCGTTTCTTTTCAAGTGTGACATCTAGCCAGTGATCCTCTAACAGCATGATTACTCCATGATTCTTGTCGGCATGTCCACGCCATAGCTACTGCTCTGGCTACACTCATTGCTATGCCATGTTTGCGGAGCAGAGCCGCTTTGCTGAACGAGACATTGGTATGAGTTGCGCAACATGCATGACAGACAGTGGATGTTGATGTCATGCGGGAGTCATGCCTTTGATAAGTTTCGAGATGAACATTTGCAATCAAGCAGCTGCATGTCCACAGGGCCGTTCTCGCACCTTGGAACTCTGAGGAATCCGCACAAATTTGGCAGAGCAGCTGCAGTGGCTGGGCAGTTGTCAGAGTTGGGTTGCGGCCTTGGTACACACTTCAGCCATCTGCCGTTATGAAGTCACGACTGTTTCGTCCTGGATTTCTGGATGGGGTTTGGAAGGGACCCGTAGAGACAAGAACATGTTGAGGCGGATGTGTTTGGCAAACGCTTCAACGTCGAGACCCTCAACAAGAGGCAGCGGTGGGTAATTTGGCCATGTTTTAAATTCTGATTCGCTTAGCCAACATCCATCCAGGTTGACTGCAAAGCCTCTGAGACCAGAATCTTGACTATTGATATCTATTGTTCATCCAACTGGGCTCAAAGGAACCTTTGGAACCTTTGCTGCCCAATTGCACCGCAGGTCCCAGCTTTCTGCAGAAGCGCTCAAGGACATCAGCCGCCTGGCCCAACTTTGGGGATTCAAATTCTGCTGTATCCACTTGACAGGTCAGTCATTGCTGAGCTGGAAAGTAAATAGACAAATCGGGGTACTGTACCCCTTTTTTAAATAAACCCTGTTTGATATGTTTACACTGAGGCATTGACAAAGACTGGCGTCCTGTGTGGCAACGAGCCGCCGCAGGTACCTTGAATGGCGGCGAGGTTGTTGAGCGTCGCACAGCGCCAAAGACATCCAAAGCCAAGCAGGGCAGTGTCCATGGTGGCCATGGTGTCCATGGTGTCCATGGTGGCAGCGGCAATGCTTCGCTGCATCACACTGCAGTGGCTCCGGCTTCACCAGCGGCACCAGCGGCACAAGCCATGCGAGCCATGGCTCCGGCTGCGGCTCCATCGAGTTCCTTTGTTCCGAGTCACTGTGAAGCTCCGAGCTTCGAAGGATTCGAAGGGAACGGAGCCAATGGAGCCAATGGAGCCAATGGAGCCAATGGAGCCTGGCAGGCACCACCGACCACGAATTCAGAAAGGGCCTGTAGAGATCCAGGACGAAATTGGGCGCAAAGCTTTCCATGGGATGCTTCAGTGAATGCAGCGCTTCCAAAGTTTGGCGTGCCTGCTTTCCGACCACAGCAGAGGGAGGCAATCAATGCATGTTTGGCTGGAAAGGACGTGTTTGTCCGGATGCCAACTGGAGGAGACATTGACTGCTTCCATTGATTTGAATGATCTGAACACACTTGGTGACGCTCTAAAATTCATGATCTTCTTGGAATTGTAGCCTACTGGGATTGAGGATCAAGTTTGTGACATGCCGCATGCTCATGTCGAGAGTCTTGACCACTGTAGTGTTACACCGATTACACCGCATTTTTGTAGTTGCCATCAATTGGATTCCGCACGTCCCAGGAGGAAAATCCTTGGTCTACCAGATTCCTGCAGTGGTGAAGCCGTTGGTGGTGGTCATCAGTCCCCTTCTTTCCCTGATTCAGGATCAAGTCCAAGAGCTGAATCTTGCCACAGCTTGGAACTGCTGGTCTTGGCTGTGAATTGGAATAGTCTGAACATTTTGGAGCAGGTTTGATGTTTCCGGAAAAAACATCAAGCTGATGATAGCTAATGGATGATTTTGAAGGACCCTATCAACTGAGCGCCAAGAGTGGAAACCACATGGAATCTGAGATTGTCATATCGCGATGATGATCATTTAGAATATCTATATATATATATCATATCTATATACCCATACATTATCATACATTAATATATACATTAGATCATTAGTATTTACATACAGACGACATATGGTTTGCTTTGGGTCGCGCTTCTTGGCCAAATGTGGAGCCGAGGATTCAACTGGGTATCGGGGTTGCCGCCTCAGCCCGGTTCTTGCCATCGCTAGTCAGGTCAAGTTTTAGATCCTTTTAAACCACAACACGCCATATGATATTATGAAGTATTATGATTTTGATGTGATTTTTGATGTGATGTTGATATGATATTGATGTGTTTGTGTCCACTGCTGTTGCTTCCACGATTTTAGCGTCAGGCCTCCGCTGTCCGGTCGCGCTCCGACGACTCTGGGGAAGATGTCCGCACGGTGGGAGATGAACAGCAAAAAAGGTTGTGCACACCAAATGCAGAGAAAACATATGAAAACATATGAAACCATTGATATGTTGAAATTCTTTCAAAGCTGTATCAACCAGGAGTGACCAAATCTATCCGAGTCTATCTAAATGTATGTACTCGTATTTTCTTTGGTAGGCCCTCTGGCTGGGAGTTGGCAGGTAACTCAGCGCATGCTGACGGGACAGCTGCAGATCGTTTATGCTGGCTGCTGAGATCGACTGAATCAGACTGCGTTCCGCTCCATTCAGGTTGTTCAGCTGGTTGTTCAGCTGGTTGTTCAGCTGATTCAGGAGGAATAGGGGGACCAAACCACCAAACCCAGCCCAGCATAGACTTGGAAAGGTCACCCCTGAGATGATTCATCAAAGTGGTGCCTTTCAGAAAGCACTCAGAAGCCGCGCTCCCAGGCATCCGAAACAATTCAGCAGAGAGGGAAATTCCATGTTGATGCTAGCTGATGTTGATGGCAACTGTGTTGACATTGATGGCCAATGTATGTCGTATCTCTATTCTTTCGGTGCATTCTACTTCTTTTGTTCCCAACATCCAAGGCCTTTATGCAGAGGGAGGTTTGCAGAGATTTGTGATTGATGAAGCGCAACTTGACTCAACTTCGAGTGAAATCCAAGTTGCGCATCGTTCTCATTACGATCTTGGCTTCAGGCATTGTTTGAGCATTTGGGGCAATGAATTCCGGGAGCCTTGACTGCAGACGGGATGATCAGACTGCGATTGGATCTATCCCAAGATTGATGTGATTCTGCCATGTCACGAAGTGTCTGTGGACGTTTCCGCATTCTACTTTTAAATCGTTCAAGTCCATTACCAGGATTTATTTCATTTGATTTCTGTTGCTGTTTGAGGATAGCTATTTGCAGCTCAAAAACCTCAAGGCATCGTTTCCCAGTGTGTACCGGCCCCAGCTGCCCCAGCTGCGGTTTCGAATGGTTCGATTTCTTCCATCGCTGCAGCTGCGCTGCAGGCCTATTTTGGCTTGCAGTGCCACGGCAACGGAGGAGGCGAGCCAAGCGGTGCCAACATGTTTTGGAATGTTTTAGATATATATATATATATCTTTAGCTGATGCATTACGATCATATCACCATGTCCACTGCAGATCATACAGAACGTCTTGACGCAGCTCAACATGGCACAGTGGCTTGGGCGTTTCAGTATTTTCAGTGAGACTCCATGGTTTCTTCGGGGAATCTCAGGTGACAGATCTCTTCACTTTTCACTCTTTGGGTTGACTCGGAGGGATAACATGGGATAACCATCGATAAAGTTGTGGGCTTTGAAACATTTTGAAATTATACATAGAAATCATTAAAAATCATAGAAGGATATGGAAGGTCTTAAACTGGCATTTCAACATGGAAATACTGGTAGCTTCGTGTGACTTCTCGTCATTCTCGTCACGGCACTTCACACCCAAGGGACACCATTTTCTTGTCGCCGGTGGATCGACCCAACTTAGAATTCAAGGCCGGAGCGGTAGCGGACATTGACTGTTTGCAGATGTGATATGTTGACTTCAATGACTATTGACATCTATTGACTATTTGAATATATTTTGAAGAATATTTTGAAGAATATTGAGATATATTGAGATTTTGGAATTGGTACTTGTAAAATCTTGAAAGTCTTGCTAAGTCAAGAGGATCTATATCAGACACTGATCGCCTTCTGGATTTGCACGCCAACCACGGATACCCACGGATACGGTCAATGCCTTGGGTCACCTGTCACCAGGTGCTGCCCAAGAGCAAACGGAGCATCATGAAGGAGATTGGCGAGTTGATCCACACCCGATTTCGAGGCTCGAGTGCAGATAGTGCAGTCGAATTCAACTGGATCTGCGATCTGAAAAGTCAACTGATGATAACTGATGAAACTCAAGGTGAATCTGGGATCATCTACTGCCTCAGCAAACAAAATTTTGGAAATCTCAGGTCACCGCCACGGCTGGTTCAGTGTTTCACATGGTTTTACTGAGGTGAGGACGTGCAGCAGGAGCTCAGCAGGATGCAGATCCGTGCTGTGTCACAAACATTGGACAACTGTCACAACTGTTTGAATTGTTTGACCCCCAAACTCTTCTGACAAAAAAAAAACAGATGGAAATCCTCAGAATCCCGACTGTAAGCCGCGACATGTTGCCATGTGCACGGATTCTTTTGGAGAGCTTTCTTGGGGAGCTTTCAGGTGCGGAGGTGTATCATGCCCAAGTGGCAGCTCATCAACGTGCGGCTGTGCCATCGCCCAAGTGATTGCATTCCGTTCAGATTGAGCAGATTACATCTTTATTTTATTCATTTTATGGCACTGTGCACAGAGTGGACGGGAAACACTAAGAGACATGAATTGTAAAAAAGAACACCACAGGGAAAGGAAATGGCATGGCTTTGGGAAGCTTTACATTGTATTTGGGTATTTGGACCTTCCGAACTTGCAAGCTTTGAATCGATAGATTTTGTTCCCCTAGCTCCATTTCTCTTTTTCCAGAGTCTTTCTGGGGGCCTTTGGTTTTGGGCTGAAACACCAGGCAGCAGCGTTGGAAGTGACGCTCTCAATGTGGACATGGGAAACCGGTGGGGTTGAGCTCCTTGAAGCATCTGCGGGCACCAAGGGCTGGGGAGACTCCGATCATCGTCGCAACCATTGCCTTTGGCATGGGCGTGAACAAGCGAGATGCGCCCTTGTGAAACATTGTGAAACCTTGTGAAGGGTTTGGGTTTGAGAAGGACTAGTCCATTCCAGTCCAGTTTGGATTGAAGATCACCAGCCACCACGGCTCAGGTACGCTTCGTGATTCATCACTCATTTCCCAAGTCACTGGAAGGACTGATGTTTGTCCACAACTGGCTGCAGCATATGAAGCTCTCTGAAACAAGTGTTGAATACTGTTGATACATCAATGACAAAACTGCTAAACATCCACAACTGTTCTTTCGGTGTCGAGTGGGCAGGCTACTACCAGGAAGCAGGGCGTGCTGGCAGAGATGGCCGTGAGACCCTCAGCTGAAGGGAGCAGGCATCCGCAGGCATCAGGCGTTGCAGGCGCCTTTCGTTTTGCGTTTTGGGCAGGTCCTGCCACCTCCATCATTTTCTATGACTACGAGGACAGTTTAAGGGACAGTTTGGGACGGGGACGACCGTGATGGCCATTGGAATGCCATTGGAATTGGAATCGGAACGTTGAATTCGTTGAATGTCAAGGACAAGAAGCGGCACCAGAATATGGCGCTCAGTGACATGAACCAGGCAAGATATCCACAGGTTGCCAAGATCAGCAAATAGTATGTTGCAAAGGGAACAGTGCCCAGTACACAAAAAGCTACAGTATGTGAAGGGATATCCCAGTGTTGTAACATTTAGACTCGATTCTACACGGCGGAGTATTACTGTGTATTCCTATCTTATCTCATTCTATGTGTCTGTCCGATTCCAAGAGTTGGCAGTGGCAGGCACCAGAGCACACCGAGAGGAGCTTGCAACGTTTGCTGCAGATGGTGGCTTATTGTGAAGAGAATTTCCAATGTCGCCGGGCCTTCATCATCAATTACTTCGATGAGACACGACGGATACAACATGTGACCCAGCAACGCCAGCAACGCTGTCAACCTCCAGCTGCCATTTGTGACATTTGTCAAGCCATGGCAGCCAGGTCGAGCGGGTCGAGCGGGTCGCCGGCCGAGCTTCAGCAGATCGATGTGGTCTACGAAGCACAACTTGCCGTGCAGTTGCTTCGAGCTGCGCGACAGCACTTGGTTCGTGAGAAAGGTGATGCTCCGGTGACGTTGCATTCGGTGAAGGATGCCTTATTGGGATCCAAAGCACAACGAATGGCTTCGTGGCAAAATTTGCCTGGTTTTGGTGGCTTACATGGCTGGACAGAGGCAGATGTTCTGAGACTTTTGCGTAAGCTGATTGTGAAGTCAATCCTAGCAGAAGAAATTACCACCCCAGGTGGGGCAGCTGGTTGCGTCACAGTAGCCTACTTGATAGAGGGTCGCTACAGTGAGTCAATCATCTACGGTGAGATTCCAGTGCAGCTCTGTCTAGAAGGCAAGATGCAGAAGCCGCAGAAGCCACAGCCCAAAAGTGGAGTCAAACGAAAGTTGCAGAGTCCCAATGGTGAAACTTGCAACGAAACACCGCGAAACCGGAATCGACGATTGTCCAAAACTCAGATTCGTGCAGCACAGCAGCGACAACTTCAAAGAGAAAGACCCTGCAGAGAACAAGTAGAGAGCACGATGCAGCAAGGTCAATATCTGAATGGCATACCATCATCTCATCAAAGCTTTGAACAAACACAGTACCAGCAGTCGCAACACCTACCAGCTGGGATGGCATTTGGCCACTCACAGCAGCAGAACTTTGTGCGGTCTCAGCAACAGCCACCGGCTGGCATGGCATATGGACAACCACAGCAGCAGAACTTTGTGCAGCCGCAGCAACAATCACCCCCTGGCATGGGATATGCACAACCACAGCAGCAATTTTTCCCACAGTCTCAGCAAGAGCCAAGCATGGGATATGGGCAAGCACAGCAGCAGAACTTTGTGCAGTCTCAGCAACAGCCACCGGCTGGCATGGCATATGGACAACCACAGCAGCAGAACTTTGTGCAGCCGCAGCAACAATCACCCCCTGGCATGGGATATGCACAACCACAGCAGCAATTTTTCCCACAGTCTCAGCAAGAGCCAAGCATGGGATATGGGCAAGCACAGCAGCAGAACTTTGTGCAGTCTCAGCAACAGCCACCGGCTGGCATGGCATATGGACAACCACAGCAGCAGAACTTTGTGCAGCCGCAGCAACAATCACCCCCTGGCATGGGATATGCACAACCACAGCAGCAATTTTTCCCACAGTCTCAGCAAGAGCCAAGCATGGGATATGGGCAAGCACAGCAGCAGAACTTTGTGCAGTCTCAGCAACAGCCACCGGCTGGCATGGCATATGGACAACCACAGCAGCAGAACTTTGTGCAACAACGACAGCAGCAAGAGCCAAGCATGGGATATGGACAGCCGCAGCAGCAGAACTTTGTGCCTCAGCAACAACACAGCAGCAAGAGCCAAGCATGGGATATGGACACCGCAGCAGCAGAACTTTGTGCCTCAGCAACAACGACAGCAGCAAGAGCCAAGCATGGGATATGGACAGCCGCAGCAGCAGAACTTTGTGCCTCAGCAACAACGACAGCAGCAAGAGCCAAGCATGGGATATGGACAGCCGCAGCAGCAGAACTTTGTGCCTCAGCAACAACCACAGCAGCAAGAGCCAAGCATGGGATATGGACAGCCGCAGCAGCAGAACTTTGTGCTTTCTCAGCAACAGCCACCGGCTGGCATGGGATGTGGACAACCACAGAAGCAGAACTTTGTGCAGCCTCAGCAAGAACCACCGGCTGGCATGGGATGTGGACAGCCGCAGCAGCAGAACTTTGTGCAGCCTCAGCAACAACTACCAGCTGTCATGGGATGTGGACAGCCCCAGCAGCAGAACTTTGTGCAGCCTCAGCAACAAACGCCTTCTGAGATAGAAGGTTCGGGACAAACGTCAGAGTCAGCCTTCCAGCCAGGAGAACTACAAAGAGAGCAACTGGTACATTCAGAGGCTCTTTCGCGGGAGCAACAGTTTCGCCAGCAGTGCCAGGAGCAATTGATTGCATTCTCACAACAGCAAGGTCAACAAAGATCGCAGAATGCTTGGCCAGCTCCTTCACAACTGGGATAGATGGTTTGATCTTCCCGGAAGATGTGATGACGTGGCTTGTTTGCAGAAAGGTTTACTTCCGTTTCCAAGCATTCTGCAATCATTCTGCAAGCATTCTGCGAGCATTCTGCAAGCATACTGCAATGGCATCATATCTGACACGATTTTTTGCGTTTTCTTAGATGCCTCCCACTGCGATCAACGTTTTGGTAGGTTGGCTACAATAGCAGGCAGGGCACCTGAGTGCGCTTGATGCTGCTTGAAAGCAGAGCCATGCATGGTCCATGGGCCCATTTCACGGTCAATGTCGAAGGAATTTCTAAGCACCAAAATCTTCAAGACAAGACTTCGGAAATCGGTTTTCATTGGCAAATAAAGACCTGGATGGAGCAACATTTCACACTTGTTTGAGGTTTGGGCTCAGGAGATGTAACATGATGTGAAGCCTTGTCAAGGAAGTTGGGGCAAAGATCCCCAGTTTTGGCCATGGCATCATCCAAAGTTGGTGACGCTGCGGCCACGCAAGTGTCACTCGGTTCAGAAACGGATAAAGGAAGATAAAGGAAGAGTCCCCTGTGATACCCAAAATATATCAACATATCACTGTGGTTTCACAAGTAGTTCCCTGTGATCTCACAGATTTCAGTTGGGAAACGCCTATTACTCTGTGGACTCTGTGGTTGGCTTTGGTCTCCATTGGTCCAAGGCAAATCCGTGAGCTTGGACTGAAGGGCCGCTGGGAGGAGGCATTGAATCTCCTCAACTCGCTGTCTTCGTATCTTGGTCGAAGGGACATGGCTTGACCTCTAGAATTTTCACCATTTTTCACCTGACTGGAAGGGTAAAGATTAGTGATGGAATCTTCAAGGACACAGAAAGGCACCAGTTGTATCCAGTTGTCACGAGCTTGTATTTTATGCCGTTAAGTTATGCCTGTTCAAATCCTGTTCATCCCGTGGATTCCGGGCACCTTGTTCAATCCTTGCACGATATGAAAACGTAAGGAATGTATGTTTTTTTGACATGTAAATCATATGGTTCATGTTGGTTCCAGACATTGGGGGCCACCACAGGATGGCCAATTTCGGTGCCCTGCAATGTCTGATAGGTTTCTTCTCTATTGCAGGCAGAAAGCTTGAGATCATGTTGAGCATGTTTTCAACATTTTTGCGGCAAGGCTATCAAGCCAGTAATTATACGAGACCCGGAGCAGTTTAGCTGGCCACAATTATTGCAGGTTAAAATTCATTCGCCAGACCCAAAAGGAAGCTAGCAAAATCGAACAAGCGCAGTTTGTGGCAGATTTCGTCTCCTCTGTCGACACACAACTCTGCTCACAGCATAAGTACGTAGTGAACATTCATGGGAGTAGCTTCGCCCTACCCACGAATTGTCCCGGCATTTGTGGCTGCTGTGTTGTGGCGGCTGGCATTGATAATTCTGGGGCGCTAAAGTGCGGTTCCAGGCATTGCCTGACATGCTGTGAGGGGAGGCCCTTTATCCAGCTGGAGGGTAGTTGAACTGTTCTCTTGTTGATGTCATGCAGCTTCCGTTTTCAATCTCCCAGCATGGGGTTTGACAGGTATGCGATGCTGCTTAGAATCTTGGGATGTTGGAATCAGCGCTGAGGTCTGGTTGCATGGTTGAGGCAGTCACTTACAGTGCCACTATGTGGACTTGTGTGAAGAATCAGCAGTGGCAGCAGGCGCTGAAACTCTTCAAGGACTTTTGGATGAACGGAAGTTGACGGAATCTCCTCCTAAAGATTCCGACGCATCACAACTGCCCAAGCAAATATCCTGAGTATCCCACTAGGTCCCACTACTGATAGCATGTGACGGGAATACGGGGAAGCCTCTCGTTTCTTATCTTTTTGAGCGTTTCATGCTGCGAACATGACAAAAATCCTTCCTGGTTTTCAACAGCAGCTAGGCTCCTCATATAGTACTACATTAATAGATCATTGATAAATCAATTATTATACGACTCTTGCTTTCAACTGTGATGTTTGAGGGCTCGTACCCCAATGAGACGCTACTTCCCTCATAGTGCTCAAATAATGGTAGCGCCAGTCGAGCTTTCATTGGTTTCAATCTGAAAATCTGTGGACTTTCGAATTTTGGCCCTGGATTTTGTTTGGCAGGATATGCGGGAACATTTTCTAGCCCCTGAGACGGTGTCATGTAATGCAGCGCTGTGTGCCTACGAACAAGCTGGCCGATGGGAAGATGCCCTTGTACTTCTCCAAGACATGCGCGAGCTGCGGCCCAAGCTGTAAAGATAGTTGAAAAAGCAGAGTTCTATTTTACAGGCAACAAATCTGAGTAGTTTAGATTTCGATGCAGCGGCATATCGGCAACCATAGATCAAGGACCAAAGATGAACGCATCACAATCGCTCAGACATGCAGAGACTTGATGTGAGATGTGACTGGATCAGCCCTGTCAACTCGGCTGAGGTCGGAGGTTGTTGATGTCATCAGCTACACAGCTGTAATGAACGTCTGCGCTGATGCTGGACAATGCACACAGACGCTGAGGGTGCATCGGTCTATGCTGCAAGGCCAGTGCCAAATTGTACCACAGTACCCTACTGTACTTTGGATATCTTTGGATTTGGTTGCAATATGACTTGAAGATCTTGAAGACAATCACAGTTTTGCAGTGTTTGAGATGTGGACGGTGGCATCAAATGGTGTTCACATGGTGTTCACATGATGGCAACTGTTTGATCTGTTTGTTCTCTTATTGCAGACGGACATCCGCCAACTGCGGACACTTGCAATGCTGCGATCCGCTCCTGCGACGGACCCAGATGGCGTGAGCAGCTTGAGCTTTTGCAGGAAATGAGGCGGACATTTGGTTCTGTTGGACTGAAGTGACTGAAGGATTTGAGTGAAAGATGCCGTTGTAGTTGAAGCCCGTGATGGCAATTTGGCTTGCTGGATATGCATGGGTTTGTCGGAAAATTGGGTACCAAAAAAAACGCATTGTTGTCCATATGTTTTTCATTTTTCCCAATCCAAATAGCAATATAGTAGCATTTTTGGGTATCTGGTAGATTCTGGCAACATATTCCTGGACACATTCCGGTACTTCGATGAGATCATGCCGCTATGCCGGTGCAGGCGTCGTGGATTGCAGCCCAATGCCACTGCCTTGAATGCTGCTGTGTGCAGATCCAGCGAGGCAGGTCAATGGAGATGTGCTCTTCAACTCATGTCCTCCATGTGGGAGAGAGGATTTCAACCGGATGTCACTCGGCGATGAAGTTTTGGCTTGAGAAAATTCATGGTTTTTCCAATTTCACATCATTTTTCTCAAGATCCCAATGTGAGTTGATTGAGACCTGACTAAGGCTGAAGCCTTTCGTGAAGTGATCTCTGCTTGTGAACAGTGCGGAGAATCTGAAGAGGCCAGGGATCTTCGACCTCCCATTGAGCCGTGCCATGGCACCATGGCACCATGGCACCATGGCACCATGGCACCATGGCATCGTCGTGACAGGCCCTGCGTCTCTTCCGGCTGCGGCAGAGCTATTCCGCCGCTCCGGAGAACGAGACCTACGCCGCCGCCATCCGGGCCTGTGACCTGGAGAGATTTAGTGGTGCAATCTGTGCTGTCTGGAAAGCTTGCGTGACAATCATGACACCCAAAAAAAATCCAAGCATATAACATATCATACTGTAGAATGTAATAGTCATGATATGTCACAATATCTCACATTCACAGGACAGTTTACATGGTAAAACCCCAAAATTGACGCATTGCTTTGCTAATTCATGTACATAGTCTGACATTTCCAAGCAAGTGGATGATCAGGTGGTGGCTCCAAGTGGAATCATGCTCTGGAGCTTCTGACGAAGAGATGGGAGACGGGGGTTGCAGATGCCCAGTGCTATGACTCTGCCATTGCATGCTGCGAAGCTGCTGAGAGATGGGATGAGGTGCTGCAAGAGTTGGAAGCAATTCATATCAACTAGCACTATGCCCTAACTATGCCCTAACTATGCCCTAACTCTGCCCTAACTATGCCCTAACTATGCCCTAACTATGCCCTAACTATGCCCTAACTATGCCCTAACTATGCCCTAACTCTGCCCTAGCTATGCCCTAACTATGCCCTAACTATGCCCTACTATGCCCTAACTATGCCCTAACTATGCCCTAACTATGCCCTAACTATGCCCTAACTATGCCCTAACTATGCCCTAACTATGCCAATTGTTTGTCAGTGAGTGGCTTTCCATTGTTTGTCCAGTTGCAACGCGAGCTGAAAGTTGATTGTCATTAGTAACATAAGTGACAAAAGTGACTAGGTGTTGAGACTCTTCGATGAGATGCAGAGCTACAAGCTCAAGCCTGGCAAAGACACTCTCATCGCAGCACCTTGGACCGAGTACAGCCAGATGAAGCACAACCGGCGCAATGTGTAAAGGAATATGGCAATCCAGTCATACCGTTTTTTTGGTTTCTAGCAAGTACCTATTTAAGTAATTTAAGTACTTATTTTCAGTAGGCTGATTTGCAAACATGGATGTGGAATTCTGCCACGGCGAGGTTGCCAGCGCTTCTGCGGCTACTGCCAGTTGGCAACGCTCCTTGGAACTCTTGGAGCACTGCAAGGACTGCCACCTGCAGCATCTCGTTGTTGTTTGCCAATTCCCATAGTCATAGGAGTTCATGGCTCAGTGGAACGAAATCCAACGAAATGTGTTATGACGCGCTTTCTGTCTTCCACAGGTGCCAGGAAAATGGGGAAACACAAAAGAGGACAGTGGACCACCATACATAGATGTATCATGATGTATCATCATGTATCCAAAGTATATTTAGACAACACTTTTTGTTCAATAATTCATGTGGATTAGACAGTAACAGAACAATAACATTTACATGACATTACGTTACATTACTTAAAATTTACATTCCCAGTTTGACCCCAGGACAGTGCTGAAGTGGTTGGCCGGGTGGCGAGCGCTTGCGCTGACGCTAAGCAGTGGCAGAGGGTGCTGGATCTGTTGGAGGTGCTGCAGACACCAACACCCAATAGGCGCAATAGACAATGAGGACTCACCGACAAAGTGTGTCACTATCTAAGTGTATGGATAAATGTATATAATATATATATACATATACATACATACATACATACATACATACATACATACATACATACATACATACATACATACATACATACATACATACATACATACATACATACATACATACATACATACATACATACATACATACATACATACATACATACATACATACATACATACATACATACATACATACATACATACATACATACATACATACATACATACATACATACATACACATATTTATATGTAGATTTGCTCACTGCAACCATCCGAAACCATCTAACTATCCGGAAACTGGCAAAAAGTTTGCAGACAATTGCATCAAGTCCCGAGCCGAGATGATTTTTGAAGAACTCATAGGATGCTTGGAGTTGCCGCACGCACTGGAAACTCTCCAGGTTTTGAACGTCTTTCCGGCTGTCCAAAAAAATTCTCACGAGCTGGGAGTCTGACGGAGGCACTTCAGCCCCAACAAAAGAAGGCTGCCAGCTGCCGCACTCGTTGTCCAGCTGCTCAGCAAGTTCTTTTGCCAGTCGCTGGAGAAACCCAACTTGCAGGGTGGGAAGAAAATGCTTCGAGGAAACACGGGAGATTTCTTTGTACACGCAACTCTTGGTTGATGATTTGTTTTTCTCGCTTTTAAACGAGGCCGCGGCTTCTTTTGTTGAGGCTGAAGTGCCTCCATCAGACTCCCAGCTCCTGAGTTTTTTTTGGACAGCCGGAAAGACGTTCAAAACCTGGAGAGTTTCCAGTGCATGCAGCAACTCCAAGCATCCTATGTGTTCTTCAAAAATCATCATCTCGGCCCTGGACTTGATGCAATTGTCTACTAACTTTTTACCAGTTTCCGGATAGTTAGATGGTTTTGCAATGAGCAAGTATTTGTTTTTTTTGGGTGACACATTTTGTCGGTGAGTCCAACCCCCAAAGGGATAGAACATGAACAGTTGGAAACCAAGAAATGATGGAGGAAATATCACCCATAACATCCTAGAAAAAAAACGTTCTATCGTTCTGGGGAGGTTTACTGAATCTACCGCAATCAGCAAACATGCAGGATTGATATGGGGACATGTCGCCTGTTGGTTTGAGGATAGCATGAACAACACTTCGGATTGGGTAAGCTGACAGAGATGCCTTTACACTTCGCAGGAGGTTCGTCCGCAGCAACGGCCCAACCTCCAGCTGTACCAAGCAGCTTTGAAGTCATGTGGTGATGCTGGGCGATGGGAAGATGCATTACAGCTCCTGCAGGTGGTTTTCTGTTGCGTGAGTCATTCACTATTAGAAATTCATCTGCCATGAAAAAACTGATCGTTCTGTCATATTTTCAGAGATCCATTTGTCGTATTTCAGATCCAAGTTGTCCAGGAGGTCCGACTGCGTGGTTTCCACCCATCCGTGGACTTCTACAACTCGGCAATGACAGCCTGTGCTGCTGCTCAGCGGTGGGGTGATCTTCATGGACTGTTTGAAGAGGTGCAAAATGACATCGCAGATGCTGAGAGCTACAGATTGGCCATGGAGGCCTGCAATGGTTTGCAGTGCCAAAACAATGTGGTTGAGCTTCTGCGGAGTGCGGAAGAGCGGCTGGTTTGCATATGAATCATACGTTATTCACATGATTCAGATTTTCTTCATATATATCATATGATGATTGCCAGCATTTTTCTTCATGTCGTGATTTCTCACTTTGTAGCAACAAGAATGCACGACAACGCACGGCCACCTACAGGAAAATCAGGTCATTACTTGGACGTAGCAAAAAAAAGGCTGAGACTTTCAGAAGTGAATCATAAGTAACAAAACAAAAAATCATGTATTTTTTCTGAGTTCTCTGGATATGTTGCGGCTTTAGTGAGGCAAGGCATTTCACTGACTCCTGTGATGTTCAACATGGCTCTGAAAGCATGATCCTCGACTGGAACTTTCGCCGTTTTTTCCTTTTTTCCAATTTTTGCAGACTTTTGCCTTTTCCCGCGACAATCCCAGAATCTAGAGATTTCAGGTCCAGGAATGTGCGCGTTCTTGTTGGTATTCAAATCAAACAGTTTCAGGGCCCAACGCAGCCCGGACCTGTTCCGGAGCTGAAGATCCGCAGGTGGCACGAAACAAAACTGGGCAGCAGCCTTGGAGATCTTGGGAAACATGCGCCAACGTGGAGAGATGCCAGAACCTTGACGGCACCCGAGAGCTTAGTGGCTTAGTGATTTGCGACATGGAGCTTCAAGATATAAAGGCATATAAAGGCATATAAAGGCATATAAAGGCATATAAAGGCATGTATCGGGTGTATAGGCATGTTGATGTAATCCCGGAATCCAACCTCTCTGCAAAACATGTCCGGGTCCTTCAAGCCATCATTTGACCTTTGATGTTCCTGGAATTCGTCACACGTGAGGATCGAGAAGCCTCGCAGTGCATCACGGATTTGCTGCTGAGCCGAGCCCGAGAGCATTTGTTTGATGAAAAATGGCGCTACGGTATGCAGTGCTACAGTGAATTTGAGAATCGCAATAACTCCATATTTGTAGCTTCTGCAACACTTCGCAAAGATTGTGCAAACTCAATTGATCCTGTTTATGGGGCTGGATTTTGACTGGGATTGTCCCTTGCTTTGTCTGAACATCCCAACACATTCGAAGCTTGTCCCAAGACTACCGGCATGTCACTGCACGTGGAGTGTGGGGTGTGATACCCTTGGATTTGACCTGTGGACAGGCCAACAGCAGTCAGAGTGCAAAACGCTGACGTTGTGAAGGAATAGGAAAATCATGGAAAATCACGGAAGATCAGGAAGGGAATGTTGCGAGCCTGGATTGAGATCGCTAATGCCAGAAGTTCACACTCCAAAGAAGTTGTGTGAACAGCCTCGAAGCCGTGTGCATAGAGGGGAAAACAGCGAAGACAGCCACCACCCGCGTTGCCGCAAGAGTTCTATGAGTCTATGACATTCACGGCTTTACCATGCTTTACCAATCTTTGTGGCCCTTAGGGGTCAGAATCGGTCAGAATCTCGTTGGAACAAGTCTCAGATGAAGCCCACAGGCACTTCAGAATGGTCTTGAAATGCCACACAACCTTTTTACGCCCACTGGTCCACTCTTCCTTTGCAAGTCCATTGGCTTTGTCCAGCAATGCGCTGTGCGCAACAGAGCAAACTAGAATGCATCGACATCACATGACTACCATGCTCACTCAACTTTCAACTTTCAACCTGGAATTGCGATCTTTGGCCAGACGTCGCACATTTTGATATGCGTGAGAACATTCGAGTCATGGTCCCAATTCTCACTGCACCAAAGTCGTTCAAGTTTTAACACATTTTGCCACCCAACCTTTTGCAATGCTCATAGACATGCGGTAGTTTCATTTCTGCAGCTAGATGCAGCGTGGAACCCAGAGAACAGCTGTTTCCAGTGAGGGTTTCATTGGCAAAACTTGTGACATCTTGTGACATCTTGTGACATCTTGTGGCCTGTTTCACGGTTTCACCAGCATCACACCAGCACCATTTCTCTGCCAAGGCGGAGAGATGTTTTCCGCCTGCTTGTCGTATTGTCGAGATCCACACGTGGATGCGGAGGAGGTCCAGAACAGCACCGACTTCAATCCGACCTTCGAGGCCGGGCGAAGCAAATTCGTGACGTCAAAATGTCACATTTATGTCAAATGATGAGCAAAAAAAATCGTCGAAATTATGTCAAGTCACCGATGTTCAAAATCAACGTAATCCACGTGTTGTTTGAGACCGGCCTTTGGCCAAGGATGAGGACAGTGATACCACAGAGAACGATGAGACAGGCTGCCAAAGTGTGCCGTGGCGTGCAATGCCCGTGAAGCGACAGCAATCTCAGTTGCTTTGGTTCACCCTTGAAAATCTTGAAAGATCGTTTAACACTTACACAGCACATCACAGCACCAGAAGCATGTTGAAGCAGAAATGTACACACATCTACAGACTTTAGCCATGCAAGACTTGCGGTTCTGAGGGGCGGTCAAGATATATGCTCCCGCGTAGGAAACTTACCAGTGTCGAGGACCGATGGTTGACCTAGGGACATGTGTTAGATGTGTTAGAACCGGGGTGGAGTCCTGTTGAGTATTTGTTTCTTTATCGCTGGCAAGGAGCTCGAATGGATGAAGCCTTTACTGGACAAGCCGCCTGGTGGCACGGGCGTTGTAAGGGAGATGAAAGATGATGCAAGGGAATCTTCGGCATTTTCCAACGGTTGTTTCCAATCACAGTTTTTCCAGACCGGTCTGAGGCTTTGGCCTAAGATTGATTCGGCGCTCCACAAAATTATGAAGGAAACGGTGGAGCCCAAGATCCAAGACCCTCAGCTGCAACTCAGCACCACATCTGGCGACAGCGGACCGGATTCTGCCACCGAGCCGAGGACAAACTTCCTTTTGCCCTGAAGGGTTTGACCTTCAAAAAGTTCACGCTGGGGAAAACAACACCCAGCGTGGGGCCGATCACAATTTGGGATGCGCCCTGTTTGAAAGACGATATCGATCATCGAGGATTGGAGCCTTGGATTGCGATATAGATTATTAATGATTATTATATAGATTCACTCAGACCAAGACCTGGAAAAGTTGTTTTTCCATGTTTTTCCTCGCGAAAAGCAAAGGTCAATGTGGACACTGAGCTAAACTGCGATGTCAGCTGTTTCATTGCAGAGTATCTCATTGCTGAGGAACTGCACATCGAAGTTGAGCTGAAAACCAAAAATCTGGATGCAGCTTGGCAAAGATTGGGCTCTCAAGTTTTGGAGAACAAATGAATACAACATAGTACAACATAAGATCAAGTAAGAACAATAGACTGACAGACTGACAATCACAGTTTTCTTTACTGGGACTTATGTCGGTGCGCAGGTTGAACTGGCAATTGGAGCTCTGACTGCTGGAGTGAAGGAGTGCACAATCAAAGGTACTTTGGTGGTGCGTTTGGAACCTGAGATGCATTTGATTCCTGCCATTTCCTGTAAATTCCTATTATTTCCTGCCATTTGTCAATGCCAATTCGGAAATCATAGGAAATCTGTACAGTCTTGCTGGGACTCCGGGATCGCACTCAGGATCCTCTGCTGGACCATTCGCCGATTCTGGGTGGTGCCTTGGCAGTAGTTACAAAACGTTACTGTTGCTGACCGAAGCCATGAACACCCAAATTTTGTGCCTTGTAAAAGACACAAGTCGGAACGTGATAATTCTGACGATCTGTGGTCTATGGTATATCTATGGTAACGTGGTTGTCCATCGGTTTTTTGTTTTTGGTTTTCAGTGTTTTTTTCTCACCGTGATTCACTCTATTTGCAGCGCGGCTTCTGAATGTGGGTGTGCGCATAAAGACGTCATTACCCAAAGATGGAAGTTTTGGACATGCCAAAGGAGATCGTTCTGTTCGGGAGATTCACGCAGGGTGCCGATGGTGCCGATGGTGCCGGGGCCTTCACCAAGGCCTGGTGATCTATTTCTTGGACCCACCGGTTCTAGATCTGGATTTCACTCAACTTGCTTCAATGGCAGAGCTTGAGCTCAGCGCTACTCGGTGGAACTCGGAACTCGGTGGAACCACGGGCCAATGGCGGCCAATGGACCATGTCATGAACCTGATGCCATGAAATGTCTTGATTTTAATGTCTTTGCACATGTCAACGTGTGAGGAACGGGGTCTGACCCGCATCTTTGAGAAACTCATTGCCAACCGACTGGTGCTGCCCAACGTTTGGTTCCGCCCTTTCTTGAAGGATGATGCTTGGCAGAGGGGCTGGTAGCTTGGTGAGATGCTGTTCCTCTTAGTCTTCGAATATCTTTTGAACATGTTTGAACAGTTTTTTAAAGATCTTAAAGATCTTAATGATTCTTAATGCATACCTCCTGGGTCCTATTTTTTCGACATTTAGGCGGGCAGATTCTGATTTTGAAGGCAGCAAACTCATGGCCCCACACCGTGTCTTAGGGATGGGTTGAGGGATGTTTCGGGTCTCCGGTAAATTCAAGATCCAAATGTTTCCGAAGAAATTTCCTGGAGTTTCCCCAAGAATTCCGTTGCCATGGCCAGATCTTAAAGGATCTTACATCATGAACCAGTTCTTTGGTTTGCTGAGGAAGACATCGTGGATACTGCAACCCTGCGCGATCCAAAGCCTGTAGGCGTACTGAGGGTGACAGCACCTTGGCAAAGTGTTTTTGGTGGAATTCGGGCGTGACAGACACGGAGACTAGGATTGCGGAATTGACCGTTTTCAGTTGCATTGGTTCAAGCTCTGAACGCAGGAGATGGATAATATAGGAGGTTCTTGGCTGCCGAAACTGATTGAACATGATAGAACATGATTGAACTGCATTCAGGTCATTGAAGGCAGCAAACTCTATGGCAACGACTTCCATTTGTTCAGCAAGGCAACCAGCGATCCATATGTCCGCATTCGCTTGGCGGATGATGAGACTCGGACCTGTAAACTGTTTCAGTTTCCTTTTTTTTTGTATAACTTGATATAGCCTGTAGAAGTGTATAACCAAAAGGGGGAGGCAACACCAACCCAACAACAAAACCATCCAGTGACTTTGGAATGAAAAATTGAACGTGTCTCAATGAGCTGAGGAATGGCAATCTTGCAAACGAGAAGAGACTTGCAATCCCAAGTGGCTCACTGATCCTGAGACGATCCTTGGGTTGAACTTGGCTGCAGTTTGTTTGAAAGCGCCCTGTGAGTCATGCATTCTGAGTCCAACCAAGGATTGGGAGTGAACAGATCTCACCAGACGAAGTGCAGCACGACTTCTTGGTCTACGAAGCTCATCTCAGGTTCTCAACTTTGGCACTATATGAATCATCTTGAATCTATGTTAATATATTTATATAATCATTATTAATTAACATTGTCACTACATTGTACATAGAAAACTCGTCCAACCCCCTTGGCCGAGAATTCCTGGTGTCGCTGAAGCTCAGGATGTGGGGCAAACGTTGAGGATGGAAGTCTTTGACTGGAACCAGATCATGGAGCACGTCTTGCTGCCGGGCTGAAAGGGCTGAAGCACGGAAAGCTTCAAAACCGATCGATGTCCTACACATACCGATGCAATTATATTATTACATTGTATTACTATTATATTACCATATGTGTGCGTATAGCATGATGATGCATGATGTATGGAGAGCCCAAAACCTCAGAGCCAATGGACGAAAGATGACAAAAGGTTGTTCCTAACAAAGAGCTTTTTGGTGGCTTTCCCTGAGCTTTCCCCGAGCCACCAGCCTCAAAGTTTGTTCAAATCGGCGGAAATCGTTGTTAGGATTGGACGCACCAAGCCCATGACGGTTCAAGAGGCTTTGAGCCGCTCCAGGACACGGGTGCGATGGGCAAAGACACGGATCCCCATGCGATTTTTCATCAGCCGTTCCTGCCATTGTTCTGTTGCCAGGAAGCCCATGGAGTTATTTGATTCAAAGGAGAAGCAAGATCGCGGGCATTTGGTGGTGTATTCTGGCAAAGTGTTGAGAAACTTCATCCAAGTTGGGTTTCTCTACATAATTCTGTCTGCAAATTTCATGCCTTCCCCCTGGAACCAAGGCAGTTTGACTGGTTGAAAGTCACTTCCGGATACCTCGACGATGACTATGCCTGCATGGTCAGGATTAAGTTCGATGAGGTCTATGTGCCACTTGGATCTACTTAGATCCACTTGGATCCACTTGGCCGAAGTTTCTCCGTACGTTTCTCCCTGAATCCTGACATATCCCGCTCTGGCTCGACCTCCAAGGCCGGATGACATCGTTGCTTGGCATCAACTCTTGGCAGATTTACACAGATTTTCAGACAAAAATCATGTAAGAACTTTAAAAAAAACATTAAAAAAACTATGTAACACATTTGTAAAACAGCCTAAAACTGTTTTGTGAATGTGTCGCATAGAATTCCAGTCACCCTGTGCCAAGGACTTCACTTCAGCGAAGATTCAGGTGACTGTGATTCACTGAATCAGACTCAACAGTGCAGAGAGGTAACAACCGCAGCAAATGGCTTTGATGACGCTGTTTGGAGAATGTGAACTAAAAAAACCAGTGGGTCCGTTTGGTGAAGAGATCTCCCAAATCTTGACACTTATTATTTACCTTTTGATAAGTCTGATCGGCTAGTCGGCCTGTCACAACGCCTTCCAGACAAAATGTTAATTGCAGGGTTCCAATCAGATTTCTACATCGTTTTCGAAACCGCAAGACTCGTCCGAGGTGAAGCTTCAAGATGGAAAGCTGAAGAACACGCCTTTCACATCACCGCCCAACACCACTGTCACTTTCGCAGAATCTCCCAGTGACAAACGACTGGATGTCGAGTCACTTGGTGGCAGATGCTATGCACATGCTGAGGTGCTGCAGATGCTAAGGTTGCATATCAACGGTTAGGTAGGTTTGGGATAAGCAGCTGACTCTCATGATGCATGTTCTAACTCGATCGTTTCCCTTGCGCTCTATATATATTATAATATCTCTCTCGAGTTTATTATATATATATGGAGTCTCCTTTTATTTTATACCAAGTGCAGTGTCCTGATGTGATCACTAAGGACTCGATGCGGTCGTTTGCCATTTTGGCACAAAGAACGAGTGATCACAGTCAGGCCACAGCTCTTTTTGATCAAAGAGGATCGCTGTTTTTAGGGCCTGGGACTGGATCACTTAAGTATGTCTTTTCCTCCTTGTAGCCCGGCTCCATTGGAACGTCAGAGAGCCATGGCAGCTGCTCGAGCCAGTGTTGGAGGTGATCACCTTGCACCTGAGGACAGTGCCTCACAGGTGTCCTGGAGTGTGGTCGTGGATGAACAGCGCAATGTGGAGCCTGTTCAGGAAGTGCCAATGCAGTTCCCTGAGCCTAAGGCACCACCGCCCGGGTTCAGACACCAAGGTGAGCCGGCTCCTGGCTATGCAGCCCAAGGACAGGATCAACCCAAGAGTCGTGTGTCAAGCTCAAGCGGAAGTGCACCCTTCCCACCTGCTGATGCGGCTCTCTTTTTCACTGACCCTGCTCAAGCCCCTGCTCAAAGTGCTGCTGCTCCAGCTACTCAGGCAGCACGTGATTTGCTTGGAAGCGCTCAGAAGCAGGCAGCTCGCCTGGCAAAGCAGAAAGCTCAGGCAAAGAGGCGTGGTCATCGTGCAGTTAGGTGGGGACAGATGCCTGGCCTTGATGCTCAGAATTTCCAGCTCCCAACGTTCATCAGGCAGTTGTGTGCTGGCCAAGATGAACGATCAGTGCTTGTGATTGATAGCCGCGATCGGCGCATTCAGTCCCCCTACCAGGGATGGCTGCTGGACGAGATCTTGCTGAACGCCCAGTCTGGAGTGAACGTCCTGGTCGATCGACAACTTGTCAGATCGCCAAACAAGGGCTACCACCTCAACTTGTTCTATGTGAGGACGATGGACGGGTTCAAGTTCATCTTGGTAGGATCAATGACGTCTTACGGGACGGTGCCAGCAGCTCGCTGGGATGCAGACACGGGGAAGATCATGGCCCACCCGGCCTTTCAACCTTTTCGTTGGCCGATGATGACTGACGAATCTGCAACCTGGGTCGATGTGAAAGTCAAGGTTGAAGGAGGTCTTCTTCTACACCTTGAGCTGCGCGGCTACCGATCGAACACTGACATGACGGTTCAGATGAACTACGTCAATGATGCTCTCATGGCGAACCTTAGGGACTGCCTTTTTGTGCCGTCCTGCATCGTCACGGTGTTCCACGGATGGAGGGTGGTGGCAACCTCGTTCGAGGTGGGAGGGCGTCTGTACGCCTGCAGTGATGGTGGGACGGTCGTGGCCCTGGACTTTCCTTTGTGCCACTTTGAAGTCCGGCTCACTGCGCTCTCTTCCACGGACTCGATCGGGATGGATGCAGACCGCTTAGAGTTCCGATTCAGGTCATCCGGTGATCAGCTGGACGTTGCATGTTCTCAGGTGGTGGTTCCATCAACTTGGCTGGTTGTGTCGCGTGTGTCTGGGCCCACCTTGATCAAGAATGCTCGTTGGTGTCGTGAGCATCATGCAAGGGTGGAAGGCCCTGATCAGACCATGCAATTGTCACAGCTAGCCGGGATCCATGCACACTGGACTGCATCGATCGAAGCAGAGTCCGTTGATGACACGGGTCCGAGGGTGAGTGCGGTCGCGGTGGATTCTCACCCGGCCAACTATCACCTCACCTGTGAGTCTCCCTTGTTCAGGGCAGCGAAGTCGTTGGTGCCAACCGATGCACTGGCTCTGCAGGCGCACAATGTGGCTCTGGAACAGGAGACGATCGTGCTCCCGCCAGTGGCGGGTGGGCCATCAGTGGTGCCAAGATCATCAGTTGCGGCCCCTCTGCAAGCATTGGCTGGACCGTCGGCTCCTGCACTGGTTGTGGCGCCCAATGTTCAAGCCGAAGTCTCCATGACTGAGCCGGGTCAAGCCCCAGCCTCGGGAGCCATGGGAGGCTCGGTACATGTGCAAAGGCGATCGCTTGAAGCTCGCCAACAAGAGAGGATCTCAGTGGCAGCCGTGACGCCACAAACTTTTCTTGATCAGGTGTATCAGGCGGTCCCGGGACGCCCAGTCAGTTTTGGACCGGCTCCGACCGTTGAAGAAGTGACGGAGACCTGACCTTGATCAAGAAGTTTGAAATTCACCGAGTTTGCAAGGTGGCGGAATGTATCAGGCCGCAGCACGATCGCTGGCCGAATGCTCTGAAAAATCATTAGCTGCCGCGAGAGCTGTGCAAACACCCTCAGTTTAGGTCTCTTGTTTTCCCGTTGTTCACCCTGGTTTTTCCCCGTTTTGGTTTGGTTTAACTTGGGTCAATGGGTTTCCTAGGGACCTAATTTCTGAGGTGTTTGCTCTGTGAGACCCCACAATGGTGAACGGGTGGGATTTGATCACATCCAGCTCGTTCATGTGGACGGCTCCCATATTTTCCACTTGGCCCAGGCGAGGGCCCCAGTTTGCTCGGCTGTGGGATCTCAGACCGGACGTGATGTTAGAGCGACTGTTCCGATATGGGGTATGATCTCCATAGCTCTGGTCAGTCATCTTTCTCTGTCTGGTCGATCGACCACATAAAGCTGTCAAGCTTTTGCATTTATGATTTTGGTCACGATTTATGCATGATACAAGTTGATGTATTTCGTTCATTTGATTTTAATTGCTCTTTGACGCCACGCCTGTGACACCACCTCATGCAGTAGTTCACACATGTTTGCATGTTCATGCTTTTGAGGCGTTAAGGTTCGAGGTGCAATGATTGCTCTCTTAACCGACTTGACACTCTCATGTGTGCACTGTTCATGTTGTGTGGGGGTTCACAGGGAAGTCATGGCTCAAAGTTCTGATCGCTGGACATCTAAGATTTTGTGTCTTCCAATTTTCTCTGATGCCTTCGCTCAGGCGCTGTTGGCTTCACCTTATGCCAACTTGGCGCTGGTGTCAGCGATGGAGGTGCGATCGGGCCCGGAGTTCACCGTGAAGGTGCACGACTGGTCAGCATCCCTAGAGGAGACCGTTCGTGATGTTCTGCTCAGCAACAGTTTTATGCTGGAACAGTTTTGGAGTCTAGCTACTTCGATCGAGAAGGCATTTTTCGAATCCTCTGCAAATCAGCTGGGTTTCGGGCAGTGCGATCCGACTACTTTGGCGTTGAGTGCCGAGACCGCTAGTGCTCGTAGGGCTAATGCCATCAAAGCTCTGTTGCACAAGCCGGCTCAACCGCCCAGGAAACTGCTCAAGAAGTCTGATTCGGATCCGACGTCCACACCGCTGTTGGACCAGGAGAATGCCGCTCGGTGGAAGTGGGCTTCTAAACTGGAGGCCATAGGGAAACGGGCGGGTCAACACTCCAAGCTCTTGCTGGATACCACCAACAGCGAAGGGCTCTCGCCGGGTGAGACCGCTCGGCTACGCCAATTAGTGTTGGCATCGGGGGCTCCACGGACTATGTCGGCCCACATCTCCGCATGGGAGCGGTTCGAGGAGTGGGCCAATAGTGTTGGGATCCCCGTTTTTCCTTTGTCTTCTGATTTGATTCTGAAGTATGCTCTAGCTCTTGACGAGAAAGAATGTGGTCCCACAGTTTTGCCTTCTTTTAGGATGTCAATTAAGTGGGTAACATCTAAACTGGCGATCGACTGCCCTGATTTGTCCCATCCCGCTCTCTTGGCGGTTCAGTCGGACGTCATTCAGAAAAGGGCCACCACATTGAAAGAAGCCCAGCCCATCCCGATCGTGGCGGTCGGAAGTCTGGAGCAGTTCGTCACAGACGTGCAGCAGCCAGAGGCAGCTAGGCTCTTTGCATGGTGGTGGCTCTGCATGGTCCTCTGCATGGTCTTCGCATCGCTGAGGTTCGACGATGCCATGCATGTCAGGCCAACTGAGTTGATCATGAAAGACGAAGGGCTCTTTGGCGTCGCTTGGCAGACGAAAGTCGAGCGCAAACGCCGTGGCACGAAGTTCGTAGTGCCGAGAGTTGGCTTTCGTGATTCAGCCTGGCTTGACGTTGGCTGGGACCTTTTGCAGCTCGAAGATTTGGATCGTGACTTCTGGATGAGAGACTTGAACACCCAGACGGAGTTCAGGTCTGCACCGGCTCAATATCAACGTTCCATTCAGTGGCTGCGTTTCATTGGCAAGCTCGCCATCAAGACCTACTTTAGTGGGCCTGAGGGTAAAAGCTCAATGAGGCCGTGGACGGGTTGCTCAAGGTCACAGCCCACTCAGCTCGGGTCACCATGTTGGACGCTGCAGTACATGCTCGTCGATCGACGGAGGAGATCGGACTGCAAGCGAACTGGAAAAATCCGGGTCCTCTAGTGTTGAAATACACCAGGAACCGGACCAGCGTACCAGCTCAGATGGTTCAACAGCTGGTCAAAGACATGGTTGACAATGAGCACCCGTTCGAGGCTGAAGAGGATGTCGTGCTCGACTCCGTAGATGAGACGGCTCTCAATGAGGTGCAGTTCTACGTCAAGACGGAAGGCGCTCGTGCCTCCCGTGACTATCGATATCACTGCTCGAAAGAGGAGGACGATGAGATGGTCGCATGTGGCAAGCTCGCCGTCCGTGACTGCACTGCCGTTGGGGCCGCCCTGCCAGATCCTTCCGTGCTCTGCAAGCAGTGTGCCAAAGCTCGACCAGATGTGGCTTCACGATGCTTCTCTGCTCAGAGCGGAAGTGTTCGGGCATGAGTATCAGCTGCAATTTTGCTTTTGGAAGGTGATTTATTTGTTTTGTCAATGATTTTCAATTTGCATTTTCCGATGATAATCTCAGTTTGGCTCTAAGCTATTACACAATTAATCATGGTGGATCGCAC